GGTGGGATGTTTCTATAGTATCAGGAGTCCCAGCGTGTCACCCTTCTAAAAAGGGGGGATTGGTGGGATGAGAAGTGCCAGTGCGCTCAGGGCTTGAGGGAGCTGTGCCCCAGGAGATGTGCTGAGTGAGCCGTAGAGGCCTCAGGAAGGTCTCCTGAGAACCCCCAGAAGTAGGTTTGGGTACTGGTGAGGTGGGAGGATGAAGGAAACCTGCCGGATCTGCGCCCGGGAGCTGTGCGGCAACCAGCGGCGATGGATCTTCCACACGGCGGCCAAGCTGAACCTCCAGGTGCTGCTCTCCCACGTCCTGGGCAGGGAGCTGTGCCGGGATGGCAAATCCGAGTTCGCTTGCAGCAAGTGTGCCTTCATGCTGGACCGCATCTACAGGTTCGACACCGTCATCGCGCGCATCGAAGCCCTGTCCATCGAACGCCTGCAGAAACTGCTGCTGGAGAAAGACCGCCTCAAGTTCTGCATAGCAAGCATGTACCGCAGGAACAATGAAGACTCTAGCGCAGATGACAGACCTGGGGATGGGACTGTGGACCTTTCTAATCTGCCTGATGTACGGTACGCTGCCCTCCTTCAGGAGGACTTTGCTTATTCTGGGTATGAATATTGGACGGATCAAGAAGAGCACAGCTTGGAGCCACACAGCTGCCATGCTTCAGAGGGAGCGAGTAACCGCCCGCGGCGCTGCCGTGGCTGTGCCGCGCTGCGGGTGGCCGATGCCGACTATGAAGCGATTTGCAAAGTGCCACGAAAGGTGGCCAGAAGCATCTCCTGCGGGCTGTCCAGCCGGTGGTCGGCCAGCATGGGCAACGAGGAGTCATCCGTGTGCGACGCAGCAGAGTCCGCCAGCGCCAGAGGGCCTGTGGATGGGGAAAGCATGGAGGAAGGCACGCCTGCGTCCTCTGTTGAGTCCCTGGACACGACCGTGGAGGCAAGCCCTCCGCAGCAGAAGGATGAAGATGCAGATAAGGGGGGGAAAGGGAATGGGAAATGTGATGATTTTTCAGATGACCGCGTGACCCCAAACTCTTCGCTGAGCGGGAACAGGCTGGAGCTGGCCCTCAGCTTAATCAAGGCTTTGGACTACAAACCCCTTCAGAGCCCCCGAGGCAGCAGGCTACCTATTCCCGTGAAGTCCAGCTTGCCCCCTCCCAAGCTCAGCCGTGACTTGGCAGACGGCAGCGCTTCTGCTGGCTTAATGTGTGCTGGTTCTGCCTTCCTGAATGCAGACAGAAAATCCTTTTCCAGAGCTCCTTTGGGTCTTCCCCTGGAGATTTCTGAACTGCAGGAGCTGTGGGACGACCTCTGTGAGGATTATATGCCGCTGCGGGTACAGGTAGAGGTCATTGTGCTGCTGTTCGATTGAGCAGCGTCCCTGCAGCCCGACACTGAGCCCACTAGGGATTCTTCTGTGCTGAGATAATACAGATAGCCATGTGTCGCTGAACCCAGAGCTAAGAATAGGCAGCTCGGTCCTTTTTAGGTGTGCTGCCTCTCTCCTCTGTCATTCCCCTGTCGTTTGTTTCCTCCTTGTGTTCTGGGAAATTAACCTTTCCCCCTGCCATCAGCTCTCCCTGCGAGTGCAGCCTGCTAGATGGGTCTAAGCTCTTTGCATGCTTTGTCATTTTTCTGCTGAGAAAACACCAGTTCCGCTTCAGCTTTCGCTTTAAGAAGTCAGTATGACTTTTACCCACGACCAAAGGCAGTGTTTTAAGCTTCTGGGCATGTGTTTTCCAGCAGATGTGTTTTGTTTGTGCCTGGGTAATGGTTCTGTGTCAGGAACGCCTGCCTCCAGAGCCCTGCCTCTGCAGATCAGCCTCCAACCTGCCTAACGTGCAGGTCTGCGCAGGGATCTGTGGCGCGTGCCCTGAGGAAAAGGTGTTTCCCTTGCAGGTGGATTTGTGCAACACGTTAACTTTAGGGTTGGTATTCTAGATAATTGGTTTATTTTCTGATCCTTTGAAAAGGTTCATCAATTAACGGCAGGTGTTGCTGAGAGGCGATGAAAGCTCCTGCTTTCACGGGACTTCCTGGTGCTGTTCTCTGCCTTGATGGTAGTCCTCGTGTAGCTCCGGATTGCCTCTGTTTTGCTGGCTTTAATGAAATCTTCATTAGTATGCAGTCAAAAAGCTGAACTTGTAACGCCTTTGCCACTTTACTTAATGAATAGAAGGCCTCAGTCAGCTTCAATTCAGGAATATCCATGTCAGCCTAATTGCATTCCCATTAGCAGCCTTAGTGCTGTTTAATGCTCTAGATAGCCTGGGGGATTAGAAAAATGCTTGTTTATTACTATGGCAACTGTAGCTGTGCTGAATTACGCTTCCTATTCAGCCAGTGCTGCTTGCTGTCCCATCTGCTTGGGCGTTTCCCAGAGCTGTGTGCTTTTCCCATAAAAACCTGCTCAAGAGATGATGCTAGGGCGGAACGTAGAAAAAACTAATTTTCATCTGGTGCACAAAGGCATCGCGCTGGCAACCACTGACTGAAGATGTGAAGCAGAGCATTGCTGCTTCTGTAGTCTGTGTTGCTTGCTACTAATTTTCACTGGGATATATTTACAGCATAAAAATAGGCTTTCTCTTAACAGAACTTGGCGCAATCAACGTGGCGTGTTTACGGCTTGGCTTTGTGTTATGCGTCGCCATCCTGCTCTTGGAACTGCTTTAGAGGAGTGCCTCCAGCCTCTGCCATCTGACCGTCCCTGCCAGGAATTCATCCTGCAGGATTTTTTACTGCCTGTTTCTTGCCGTGGCAGCAGCAACTGTGGTCTTTGGTGCAGGGTCTGGCAGAAGGGGGAAAGCGCTTAATCCTTTGGATGGCTTTAACAGCAAAAATGAGAAGTTGTATGCAGCTAGTAAACTAAATGATTCTTGTATAAATGATTTTTCTTTCTCTAAATGAAAGTCAGGTATTGCTGTCCAGCGATTCATATGCATAAATGCCTTTCTGGTAACATGAAAGGAATATAAAGGATATATAGGACCACAATTCCCGTATTGCTTTTGGGAAACTGCAGTTCTCCTTTAAATTTACTGCTGTAAGCTATAATGACCGAGAGATCTGGTGTCAGGGCATGTGATCTCATAAGTACTGTCTTCCTGGGCATTTTCTGGAACCAACAATTCTTCATCACCACAGCCCCAGGAAAATGCCACCAAACCCAGCCTTCGTCAGACATGCGCTTGCAGCTGCCTGCAGTGCTGTGCTGGCAGCAAGGGAAGCGCTGCCCTATGGAGAGCCACTGTTCTGGGCAGATGCGAGCTTCGCAGGCTTAGATAATGTTGTGATTATTACTCTTATTTTTAAATAAGTGTTCTGTCTAGGTTAGCGTGTGCTGACATTGCTGGAGCTGTTCTGAGGATAGATTGTCAGTAAAATGCTGATGTAGGAAAAACCGCTGGGGAGCCGTGCTCCTCCTTGTGTGGCATGGCTGCGGGGAAGCATGAGGGAGGCAGCTTGGGCTTTGCGACTTTGGACTCTGGAGCTGGCTCTACCTTTCCCTTCCCTGCTCTTAACTCTTTGCAGGCTTTTTGCTTAGTTTTCTTCGGAATGTGCAAATTGTGAGGAAAGGTGTGTTTTCCTTTTTTTTTTTTTTTTAGCTAGTCTCTTGTTTTCTTTTCATCAACCTTTTTCAAAATAACTGCTGTGTGAGAGATTCCAGCAGCTCTTCCTGTCTGATCTGAAGCCTTCTGGCTGGGCAAGTTTGAAATTACTTGCTGTGACTGTTTAAGGTTTCACTAAAATCTTAACAAAACATCAGGGTAAAGGGAAGCATTGCTTCTGTATGGAAGCTTCTATATGTGAGAGGCAATGCACAGGCCTGGGGGAGCTCCCGTGCACTGCCTGCCATTCCCAGAGACAGTGTTTCTGTGGCTGCTGAAGATGAGGATTCAATCTGACAGGGCTAATCAGAGTCGACCGTTGTCCTCCCTGCGCTGGGCTGCCTGGAGCTGGTGCTCCTGTGTGCGCTCTGAAAAGCTCTGTTGTGTTCTCGTAGCCTCTGTGCTGCAATCCTGCACTTGCCAGGACTCCCACTTGAAACAGACACTAGTACAATTGATCTCGTATCACTGGTAATATTCAGGAATACTTAACGAGTCCTGGGGTGGGGTGGGTGGGTGGGTGGTTTGAATGCTGCTCTCAGGAGTTGACAACTCACTAGGTGGAAGGTAGCATAAGAGTAAGAAAGGGTGACAAGGGATTAGTGTGTGCTCAGCCAGCAGCGTCTGGCAGGCCACGTGTCAGAAAGTAGGCTGTTTCCATTCTCAATAAATGGGTATGTGTCATGAAAAAAAATCTCAAATTTGCTATGGCTTGTGGAGCTGCAGGGAATCAAACACAGCTTGGGTGCTGGAGCATGGGGAGCTGTGGAGAGCCCAGAGAATCACAAGTGAAGGGGTTCAGAGCTGGGGGTGACTGCTAGGCCATGGCAGGAGGGTAGCTGG